ACCTGGGGTTCTTTAACGTGCACCCAAATCTGAGTACACGGGCCTAAAACATTTCCGCCTCCATCGGAAATGCAGCCGCCGCAGCCGGGAATCGAACCCGCGACCTTCGGGTCAGCAGCCGAGTACCTTAGCCACTAGACCACCGCGGCGGGGCGCACATTCTGTGTGAATGCCCACAATAGTGGTGCAGAAGGCTGAGGCGCAAAAAACATAACGTGAAGCAGGAAGAACAGGAGAGAAGACAGAACAGCGCCACTAGCCCAACTAGTGGCGCTGTTCTGGTTTGGGCACCAACTAGCCCAAAAACAAGTCCTTTTGGAATACCCACAATACTGCTCGCAGAGACAGTCACTCTGCAATGCACTAGATGAACTGGACAACCAGCCTCTTTCGGAAGAAAGAATCCTGCGCTGCCGAGAGGACATTATGTCGCAGAAGAAGGCTGTGAAGGCGCTCCTGCGCTTCTTGCGTTCAACCGGCCTGTCCAAACGACTGTGATCGGAACTCCCTGAATGTGTGCGCAATGGCTTTTTTTCTAATTTATTTTATTTCTCTCTATATCTATCCTCTTTCCGACCCTTTTCCCCACCCCCGTACAGGGTAGCAAACCAGTTCGTCTAGGTTAACCTCCTTGTCTCTTCCTTTTATTTATCTCTCTCTCTTTCTCTCTCTTGGGTACACTACTAAACCTCTGCGCAAGAATACCTGCCAGGCAAAAACAAACAGGATATGCGTTATTAGTCAGTGCAATCAGAGTGACTGGGAAGTAGTTAGAGACACTTCCGGTTAAGAAGCCGCCTAACTTTGACCATTTGAACGTAATGTTCATGTGAAGCTCTCCGCAGCTCAATTTATAGCTGCTATCTACCGTTAACAACTGGCCGTTCTCATTGATAAAGCATGCGGATCACCAATCTGATCGCTAACGAAGCATGAAACGTGCGAAAATGAATGGCATAGGCAGTGCAATGGTCACATGTGAGATAACAACCCTATTTTGCGGCTGTGACGTTAGCATGGATTTCACAGAATTGTCGCGTCTGTGTGCGAAGACAGAAAATATTGTTGGCGTAGCCCAGGTCACGGCGCGGTAGAAAACGAAGACGGCAAGCATCAGTAGGGGCGAAGGTTTGTAAAGATTCCCTCCCCCCCCCCCCCCTTCCTATCATGTCAATGTATGGGGCTGACTTTATGTCCCTTCTCGCCCTCATCACTATAAAGTCAATGTGGCTGGCTTTGCATTGGCCTGCCTTTCGCTCCGCTTTGCGATTTAGCGTGGCTTGGAAGGCTACCGGATCCACGGTACGAAGTTGGTTTTTGCGCTTGGCCACTCAGGTCCATACTTGTGCCCGGACTTCAGTATCGGCCAAGCTAACACAAACGCTCTTATTGTTCTGCTGTCGGTGCTGTTCTTCGAAAGTTGCCTGGTGTTCCGGAGTTTGTATACGATCCGTGCCCTATACCCATGTGGTAATTTCAAGTTGAAATTGCGGTGCGCCAGCTTTGTGGAACGGCTGCGACGGGATGAACGACGTCACTGACGACGCAGCCAAAGGTGTGCGCGCTTCGGCATGACGTAGATAACGACGTAATTGTCAGCGCAGCCGATTGAGTTATTTCATAAACACGAGATGAATAGTTTTTCGTTAACCCTAGCCATATACAGCTTACGCGTAAAAATGTGGACCTCACTCAGACTCACTCATGAAATACGTTTTGTCCTTGGGGCTGACTGGGACCCAGTCCCACCAACGTTTTCCCCTGCCGGACTTACTCGCACACCGAATCACTAAAATTTCATCCAGTCGGACTCGTTCGGACTCAAGTTCACCAGATCCTATAGTATGTGCCAAATAAATTATGCAGAACCCTGCTACTCTACCGGTGAACCAAACGTTACGAATGAAACTTGAAGCAGATTCACCAACTTAATGTCACGAAGACTTTTAAGCATGCCGATGGTGGCATAACTACTGCAGAGCAAAGTCAACCTATGAAGCAGCAGTATGATGCCACTAGTTCCGCTACTTACCCGTATTTCAAGACGGTGACACCACGTCTACTGCCAATTATATGCCCATTGCGCTAACGTATGGCTGCTGTAAGGTGTTAGAACATATTGTTTCTAAGTACATTCGGCTGTTTTTGTCACAGAACAAAATTGTTAGTAACTATCGAAATGATTTTCGCGAGGGTTTGTCAACCGTAACACAATTACTGGAAAGTGTTCACGATTTTAGTGAAGTTATTGATGACAAGGGACAAATAGATCTAATCTTTCTCGACTTCAAGAAGGTCTTCGATAAGGTTAATCATAGAAAACTGCTAATTAAATAAATGCTACTTTTGGAGATATAGATGTAGTCACACGAATGGAAGACTTTTTTACTGGTCGCCGACAGTTCGTCAGACTTGATGAAAATAAGTACGGGGTCTGTGATGTGAGATCAGGGGTGCCTCAAGGTTCAGTTCTTGGACCTCAAGTGTTGTTCCTGGTATACATTAACGACCTGATCGAAGAATCAGCCACAGTTACAGCAAGGTTATTCGCAGATGACTGTGACATATATACAGAGGTGAGATTTATTAGTGACCAGATACTCTTAAATAACTTCTTAGGAAAAGTTCAACAACGGTTCGACATGTGGCAGATGTCTCTTAACCCAGCAAAGACAGCATGTACGACCATCACACACAAACATGAATCTCTGTCATTAACATATACTCTACAAAGAGAACCACTTCATCGCGTAACAGAGTGCAAATATCTCGGAATTTTAATCACATCTGACCTTAGTTGGACACCACCCATTAAAAAAGTAGTAGGGAAAAGCCAACCAGAGATTAGGTTATAGTCAACGTGTCTTCAAACTGGCTTCTCTGCAGCCACGAAATTGACTGCTTATAAAGTTTTCGTGCACCCAATATTAGGATATGCATGTAAGTGTGGGATTCGTATTTGAAAGATTCAGAGTCAATACTAGAGCAGGTTCACAGAGGTGCATTGTGGTTTATTTATTGCCTGATACTGTCGGCAAGACGCCGCAACACCTCTTTACGCGAGGGCAAACCTGCCCCTACTTAACGTCAGGAGGTAGGAGAAACGACTTAGTTTTTTTTCTATTTAATCATTAATGAGCTGCTACTTGTTGATAAGTCTCGCTACATAAATGAATATAAGACCCGCATAGTGCGAAACAAACATTGTAGGCACGTTAAGTAAAATAGATTTCAGAAGAATCGCTAAAAATACTCATTCTTCTTTTCGACAGCACGTGACTGGAATCGTCTCCCTGCAAACATTGTGAATGCAGGGACTCGTCATCAGTTTTCTGCACTCGTGTCCAAATATTTTCAACAATAGGGCGTATGTCACTCTATCGCTGTATTCTACTTTTCCGTTGACTGCTTGCTGTATGCAGGTTGATGTATTGTTACCGCTCCTGTCTTGGTCCTGATGAGGACCGAGAGTATCTGTAAATCAATAAATTAATACTTGACAAGCCTTGGAGGCGTGAAATTGATATCTGCCTCAATTTTTTTAATTTTTTTTTCAATGTAACTAAGTTTTATCTGCTACATGTTTTGCAGGTGTTATCGAATGGTGCATGTCGTGCTTGTAAGTATCGCAATCATCTCGAGTGTTGTGGCGTTGGTTTTTGGAATGTTCTAATCACGTTGCGAATGCTGTGCGAGTAGCTGAGTACATGCTGAAACTGAACAAAAAACACCTGAGATAACGCATGCGTAAATTCCGGTGCGTTTCATCGGCCGATGAAAATCGATTGATTGATTTGTGGGGTTTAACGTCCCAAAACCACCATTTGATTATGAGAGACGCCGTAGTGGAGGGCTCCGGAAATTTTGACCGCCTGGGGTTCTTTAACGTGCACCAAAATCTGAGTACACGGGCCGATGAAAATCTCCGCGGCCAACGACCGAGCTATACGCTATTATTCTATTGTGAGTGTCACTTGCTTTGGTGGCAAAAATTTCAGTTAATAAAAGGTGTCATCATTATGTGGCTCTTTGGCTGTTGAAGCCTTCACATTTGCGATCAAGTGAAAAAAATTATGCGCAACTTTATGTTAATGTTATCATCCCACTTGAGTTAAAATGGGAATTTCAGTACCCAAAGCGTTCGCACATATCCAGTTTGATGGGTGTAGTAAAGTTCGAACTCACCTATAGTCGGGTACAACTTCATAGTAGAGTACCTAGTACTCTAAATCGTTACTCACTTTTTCTAAACACACTACACGCAACTTCGGAGGACAGCAGAGGTCCCTTTTGACCTAAGCGAAGCATCCAATTCGCTCCGCGACTAAAGAAAGGTGCCGTTCAAAAAAAAAATGTAACAGCTTCTAAAACGCGTATTGGTCGGTGTAAATAAGATTTGTGTATCGTGACGAATGCTTTGGTAAAAGTGCAATGAAATGCTATAGCACATGCCGGATCGTACATGCCGATAAGCAACGTCTCTCACACATTATGCTCTATTTGAGAAGCGGCATGGAAACACATTTCAATGCTGGCATATCTGCATTGAAACACTATTGTTCTTTCATTATTGTTGGCGAGCTCAAAATGCCGATTCGGGCAGCTAGACGCTAAGCTACCTTATCACACTTCTGCCAACGATTGGTCGTTTGCGCGATGAGCAGGAAACAACTAAGGCAGCATGTTCTCCGTCAGCAAGATCACCGGCCATCTGGCTAATGACGTCACCTGAAGTGCGTGCCTATAGGTTGAGGCTCGTGTGAATCCGCCTTTGAGGGGAAAATGCTGCGGCCTTCTAACAATGTACTCGACTATAGTAAGTAGTTACTTTGCTGTCTTGCAGTATTGTCCAAAGTGCGTGACTGCAAGAGTCGATCGCGTGTTACAAGTTCATTGTGCTATCTTCAAAACTTAGGACATGCACAAAAACACAACTGTATCGCGACATTTTCTTTCACTGTCACTTATGCTGCTGAGCCTTACTTGTTGAGTGATCTTACTTTACCAATCAAATGTGTTTCATAGCCTAAGTCTTTGAAATGTTCAGGCATAATCTTCAAATTGAGTGGAAGTCCCCAAGGCTCCGCGCCGGCGATGATACCTGACTGCATTCCTGCGAGAAATAAAAACAATCTCGTGAAGAAAAGAAGTATTTCAATAAGTACGAATCATGAAGAACATGAACTGATATTACACTATTTTTTCGACCTACAGATGCAGCAGAAGGCGCGGCTAATTAACGTGGTGGTTACAACCTGTCATTACGTTTTTCAGAAAAGAAGACAAAGCGCATTACATAGTCGTTGGCTCCACTATTGTAGTATCAGAATAAGCAGAAATACAGTGCGTGTGAGGGACTTTATGTGTTATGTGACTGTTATGCGTTTATGTAACTCTGTGTGTTGTGTGTTTATCATTGAATATATCATTGTCATCACCCGGCAACTGGAGCAGCCTGTCAGGTGAAAAACCAGGCAAACCTCTCCAGCTTCCCATTAAAATAATTCTCTCTCTCTCTCTCTCTATCAGAATAAGCAACAAACTCACGTAACAATAAAATATTTCAGGCCGTGATGAAGCCTTAAAGAATAACACGTTAGAGGCTCCTCACTTTGTGGGGCCTTCACTGTAGAGACCTTCGTTGTGATGAAGCCTCAAAGGAAAGAAGAAAAAAACACGGCAAGAACTCTTTACTGGGGCATTGCCAATCAGTAGCAATTTACTGAAATTTGAAACTATGTCTGGAAACTTTGCAATTAAGATTCTACTGTGTTGACAGAATCACCGAATTGGAGTATTACGAAAATAGCCAACATATCTATGTGGGCGCAGAGTCCTTCAGTGTGTACGAAGAGCCAGGTTTAGCTACCGCTTTTATGATGGCCGTATACACTCATGATTTCATGTCCGAGCCAACTGTGTGGTACAATTGCTTGTAGCAGTAACTCAATCGCTCGTGAGTGAAACCTTTTATTGAACCACTGTTATCGTATCCTTGCCCGTTCAGTATTACACTCCTTCCAGGACATGCCCACTAACTCTTACGCTGCACATGGAGGGCGCAAGATGCTTGCAATCGATTTGTATTTACTTCATGTCAATAAACTTCAATTAATCAATCAATTAATCAATCCATAAATAAAACAATCCTATTGCCTACGTATTATAAGTAGAAGAAACGAAGTTGAAACAGATGTGACGTAACACTCATCAAAGTATGACATATACGAGTTCCTGAATTTGGTTCCCACTACCTTTGTCTCAGTGCTTGTAAACCTGAGCGTAGCGTATTTAAAATGCTGACAATCATTCCCGTCGTGATATACAAAAGGTGAACGACCCCCATCGGAGACGCAATGGCATCCACAGGTGCAGCTTACGACAACTGATGTGCATCATCATTATCGAAGCCTAAACGTCTTGCGCATACAAGCGTGGCGCTAGCTAGAGAGGCTGCCGTGCATTGCGGCCCCGAGATGCTATTGACCTTACACCGTGCAATTAAGTTTGACCGCAATGCCATGCTTGGTTGGATAGTGTTGCGTCACCACGGCCCCATAGGTATTCAAAAAACCAGGAATCTTCCGCGCGGGCTTTAGCTATGGAAACAACAGAATACGACAGGTGATGACAGGCGACGTACAGAGTCGTACAGTTCTTGCTCACCCTCAGTCGCAGCAGAGACTCAACAATCACTAAAGAGAAAAAAAAACTCTCATATTAATAAACTAGAATTTCACGACACTACAAGCACCATTCTTATCGCATGAAGGCGCTTGGTCAACGACAAACTGCGAAATGCGGAGACACATATGACGCCACAGACTTGAAGTTCAGGCTGCTCACGTGCCAGATTGCTTTGACGCTATGGATTTTCCCTGCGCCTGCGAGGGCTTGCGTATAGCATTAAATTGTTCTCATTGGGTTCCGGCGGATCCAAAGGTTTGATGTATAGCTAGATTCAGAAATTTTCACTGAATCAATGTCACCAAAATACGCGTAAAGACTACGAATAACGCGACATCACGCTGAGGCTCGCGTGACTAAGTTTTGACGCGACATTTAAAAAAAAAATGCCCGTTCACCTTCGCCACGCGTTCGTGTGGTCGGGCAACGAGGAAGAGGAAGATAGTTGGATCTGTGCCACTCGGCTACTCGGACTTGACGACCATAGTCTTTAGAATCGTGGCTACAAGTTCGCCCTAATAAATACGCTTGTTTTTTAACCTGTCTGCCTCAGCATCGCTACAATATATACTCCTATGATAGAGCCGTCACCCAGGCTTAACGTCCTCGGTACTTAAGTCCCATCCACTGAAGTTTATTTACGTAGCAGTGTCCAGGGCTTCGCGAGCACAAGCGCTGCATATCAAGTTATATCTTCAGATGTTGCTAACAACAATGTTGCTGTTGACATCGTTACGCAAGTGTAAACAAGTGGTTATATAAAAAATGTGTGAATGTTCAACATACGTCTGTGCTTACAACGTTTGTACACTTCCATAGCGTCATTTATCGCGTTTCGCTAATTACAACAGAGTCACATTCCCTCCACATGCTTCGCATGACTTCGATTCCTATGGTACGTACGTGGTATCTACCGATTTTTAGTGAGGTTTTTTAGACCGCCCAGCCTCAGAGTTGGTTCCTATAAGCACCGAGCTATAGGCAGGAGCAGTTCAGGTGGCAAGCTAAACGCAGCTGGCCATGTGACCAAGCAAAACTGTGACGTGGGCGCGGAGCGCGAGCGGCCGCCGCACTTAGAGCCGGCACACGCGAAGTCGCTGGCGCGGAGCAGAAAATCGCAGGGAGTGGCAGGGCGACGCGCGTGCCAGCAACCAGCCAACAAAAACTTGTGACGTATGTTTGTTCACATTGGCCCTTTGATGATGTCGGCGTCGTGAGGATCTCTGCTTCCCGCTCAGAGGCGCGGCGTGCTCTAGGCTACAGCCCTTGGTATATCTCGGTTCATTATGTGCATGTCTTCACATAGATCTATCTCGCTCAATATCTCGTCTTCAAAATTTTGTGCCACTGCGCCTTCGATGCTTTACTTTACTGTACCTTTAGGCATGAAGTATATATATATATATATATATATATATATATATATATATATATATATATATATATATATATATATATATATATATATATATATATATATATATATATATATATATATATACATTGACCGAGGGTCTCGTACTGGCAGACTTTGTGTGTTTAGGTTGTATACGAGGGACTTTTAATCAGCTGCCCGCTCATAATAAGTTCACGTGCTACGTGACGCCAAACATGCGCATAAAAAATTGAGTGTTTTCACACTCGTCACTTGTCTTATAGATGGCGCTGACTGTCAACCCTACTTCTAAATTCACATATAAACCCAAAAAAGTGGATGGAAGGAAGGCCGTTGTGGTAGCTCAGTGGTTAAAGCATCAAACGCGTTATTCGAAATTCGTAGGTTCGACTCCTGCTCACGGCTGGTTCTTTTTTCATCCACTTTTCTTTCTTGTTATTTACATTCCATTGCTTCTAATAACTTCCCCTGTACATTACTTGGCATTACTGTCTGTTAGATCTCATTAATATTGTGTTAAAACACGGAAAAACGAGCCCTTATGTATACACTTCTTTCCCTTATTTCATTGAACCAGAGTCTCGTACTGGCAGACTTTGTGTGTTTAGGTTGTATACGAGGGACTATTAATCAGCTGCCCGCTCAAAATAAGTTCACGTGCTACATGACGCCAAACATGCGCATAAAAAAAAGAGTGTTTTCACACTCGACGCTTGGCTTATAGATGGCGCTGACTGTCACTCCTACTTCTAAATTCACATATAAACCCAAAAGGCCGCTGTGGTGGCTCAGTGGTTAGAGCATCGAACGCGTTATTCGAAGGCCGTAGGTGCAATTCTTGCTCACGGCTGGTTATTTTTTCATCCACTTTTCTTTCTTCTTGTTTACATTCCATTGGTTCTAATAACTTGCCCTGTACATTCCTTGGCATTACTGTCTGCTAGATCTCATTAATATTGTGTTAAAACACGGAAAAACGAGCCCCTAGGTATACACTTCTTTCCCATATATATATATATATATATATATATATATATATATATATATATATATATATATATATATATATATATATATATATATATATATATATATATATATATATATATATATATATGTATGTATGTATATGGCACCACATCATAAATATTCTTAAACAGCAGCTATCGGTGCCTGTTTGTGAGGAGCACCTGGCGAGTTCTCTTCTGCCACGTGGCTTTTTCTTGCAATATTTTCAACAAAAATATTGGAGAAAGGCCCATGTAAACGGGCGTTTAAATGTTTATATACACAGGTTTTGAAGGTTGCAGTAGGAATGTTTACTGCGCGGAATCGCTAAGTTGAATCTTAGCTTCAATCTCTAAAAGCAATCTAGTGACATAGAAACGCACTTCATGTCTTTTCAAATAAATTATGACCAGTTGTTACCTGTTGTTATTGGATACAATCCAGTAAGAAGCGCGGCCCTGGAAGGCGTGCACAGATGCATGGTGTAGTAAGAGTGCAGAAGTATGCCCTCTGAAGCAAGAACATCGAGGTTGGGCGTCGGAATCTGGTTCGAGCCGTGGAAACTGACGTCGTTCCAGCCCTGCGCGTTTGTACATACAGATCAGGGTTTTCCAACCTGCAGCCACTCAAGATGGACGTCTTTATTGTTGTTTTTTTAATTTCGTATGAGTCTGATAGAAATGTTCCATAGAAGTTTACAAATACCCGAGTTTGGTGATCAGCAAAATATTACCAACTAATGCTAAAAAGCACTGCACAAGCCTTCAAATTGTAGTGGGGGAGTAAATAAAATAGTACTTTAAAACGCGACAGCTCAGAAGTTTCTCTCTGGAACAAGAGTGACAGAGAGCGATTACAGTTGTTCGAGTGTTAGCTCTTAATGCAAGAGTAAAATAGATGAAATCGGCATCCATTTGTTTTCTTCGAGGTTGTGAACGCTGAACCAAAATGTCTGTTATAATTGTCTGCCCAGCAAAAAGAGGGCGTGGCTATTTCTCAGGTTCCTGAAGGCAAGTTTTCAACCTGCGCCACCTTTCCGGTACAGCTGCAAGATTTACTAACGTTTTTCAGGGGTGAAGCTCTTTAAGGCGTGGGTCCGTCCATCCTCCGTCGTTGTCGTACGTAGCCACTAGGATGCGAGATGGGAGATGGCGGTACTTGGAGTGTTCACTAGATGGACGCACGGACGCACGGACGGACAGACTGGCGGACGTACGGGCGGGCGGATGGACGCGTGGAACGGGTATGTGCCACAGGGGATGCGATATGGTGCTACTTGAAGTGTTCACTAGATAGACGCACGGGCGGATGGACAGACAGACAAGAAGACGGTCGGACAGATGGACAGATGCGCGGACGTACGTATGGATGCACGCACGAACAGACGTACGGATGGATGGACGCACGGATGGTCACGCGGATGAACGGAAGCAAAAACGAACAGACGGACGGAAGCACGGATGGGCTGACGGACGCTTCGTTCTACTCATCATCATTCACTCCGTGAATATGCTGTGATATTTTTTCTTTTCTTTTTTTTTTTGCAGTCACTAGTTGAGCACGCACATTTACGCAAGAAGAAGAGAAGGGGTTGGTCTTCGGCACTTATCTTTGATAGTGAGATTCTTCTTCTGTATACGTCAGGGATTATGAAGAAGTCTTGGGGAACACCTGGGACAGGGTGTTATATCTCTTGTCCAACAATGCGCTTTGCCGCAGCAGAGCTAGACACTTGTTGAGAAGCTTTGGTGTACGTCGCAATATGAAGACGAATTAATGAAATAGCCTGGGAAACGAGGTAAGGGAAAGTTCAGACAGTCAGCCTTGGTTTCAGCTATAGGTGAGCCAAGAACCGATAAGAACGCACTTCATTTACTACACAAGGTTAATAGATATATATGTGGCATATTAATTATGATGATAATGGCACCGGCTAAATACATGTTGTACCGCTTCTGTGTGATGCACCCCGGTAGAGCTTAACGCATATCTCCGCCTCGCCACGCGCGTATTTGGCGAGACAGCTGCCGCTTGTTGAGTGCAACCATTTCGAGTTACGCATGGTATGCCACTTGAGGCCAACGACAGCTTTTCTTCACAGAGTAGGTGCCCAGTACGTACATATCTGCATTTTTAGTCGTTACTGAACGCGTAGATTCTCTTCCGGCACAGTATTCTCTGGCGGGTTACTCCATACATCATAAGGAACTGTCTAGAATTAGTGAACAAAAAAAAAAGCTGCCAATTCTTTGCTGTATACGCTATAATTTCGGCGCGTGGAACCTTTTCAGACTGTATAGCTGCATTTAAAGATCTCTTATTACCTTGTTTTTCTCTGACATCCTCAGTCACATGTTCCGAAACACGAAATATCTGACATTGGTTTATGGTGCGAACTTTACGTCGTAAAATTGGGGAAAAAATGGGGGGACCCTAAGATTCGCCATTAAGCGCTAACGCCATAGTGATATTCCGTTCCTAGTGCGCACTTCAAACACTAAGTGTGTGAGCATGTGGAATCTTTTCGGACTTTGCTTTGCACCCACTACCTATGCAGTCACGCCTGTGCATGCTGTAGTGGGTGACTATCTTTAAACTTCGAAGTCAGTATTGCAATCACATGTTTTGATGTGCGATGGCAATGTAAGCTTGTATCACGCATTATTGCGGCCATATTTAATGTTGTATTGTGAAGCATGTGTACCGGACCTGTCTGATTGTAAAGCAGGAAAGTTACTTTCACTGCATTTCCAAGCATAGGTAGTTATTTTAGATAGATAGATAGATAGATAGATAGATAGATAGATAGATAGATAGATAGATAGATAGATAGATAGATAGATAGATAGATAGATAGATAGATAGATAGATAGATAGATAGATAGATAGATAGATAGATAGATAGATAGATAGATAGATAGATAGATAGATAGATAGATAGATAGATAGATAGATAGATAGATAGATAGATAGATAGATAGATAGATAGATAGATAGATAGATAGATAGATAGATAGATAGATAGATAGATAGATAGATAGATAGATAGATAGATAGATAGATAGATAGATAGAAATGGTGCAGTCTGTAAGAACGATAGGAAAATATACCTGCGCAGCAGTAAATTTTTTTTGTAAACATTTCATTGATTTGTGCTTTTCATGGCATTGAATGTTCACTTAACAAATAAAATTTTGGCTTTTTCACTATACCACGCTATTTTTCATTATGGCCGACGTAATACGAATCTCCATTGCACTTTCTTCTCTTCTTGAGGTAAAACCTAAAGTTGTACCTTGGGTCACCTCTTTCATTTCATGAAAAGATTGACCCGCCAAATAATCATTTCGCGCTATGTATGCCATGGCGAAAAAAAAAAATCAGGGGATAGGGTGTCACCCCCCCCCCCGCTACGCCTTAGATAGATAGATAGATAGATAGATAGATAGATAGATAGATAGATAGATAGATAGATAGATAGATAGATAGATAGATAGATAGATAGATAGATAGATAGATAGATAGATAGATAGATAGATAGATAGATAGATAGATAGATAGATAGATAGATAGATAGATAGATAGATAGATAGATAGATAGATATGTGGAGTTTAACGTTCCAAAACCACCATATGATTATGAGAGACGCCGTAGTGGAGGGCTCCGGAAATTTCGACCACCTGGGGTTCTTTAACGTGCGCCCAAATCTGAGCACACGGGCCTACAACATTTCCGCTTATTTAACTTATTCACTTATTTTCACTTATTTAACAAGCACAATCAAAAAAGGACTTCCAATCACAACTCATGGCATTAGGTATCCTCCCTTTCAAAAAGAGCCTGACCGATAATACTCCATATGACCTTCTCAAGTTGTTGGGACTGTATTCACTACGGAGAAGTCGCGCATTATTGATAGACACGCCGAGCCGCTATGCGGTCGACGAGATCCGTCTTCCGAGAAGCAGCTGCTCAAGGGCGGAGTTGTTGAGACTTTTGACCCCGTTCTGGAGTGGCTTCCCCTTCTAGGCACTTGTGGGTGTTTGTTTGACTTCTGATAAAATATGTTGTGCGTAGGTCACATATATTGGTGATGATTTCGTGCATCAAAAAAGGGCGTGTCTGTGTGGCAGAACGCCCGATTCCCACGCAAAGCACCCGTTTTCGATCCCCACTCAGACGCACAGTTTTCATTTACTTTATTCGCACCTTTTTCAATTTTTTCGGTCGTGCAAAGATACTTTTTCGCTCACAACCGACAACGCCGACGCCGTACTTTCTGCGAAACCAGTTCTTCAACGCTATAGCGTTAAAGGCATGTGTGTTAAAGATTGTGCCAGCACAGGCTCGAATCCCAGCCATGGCGGCCGCATTTTCAATAGAGCCTATAATGCTTGAGGCCTGGGTTAAGATTTTGGTGCGCGTTAAAGTACACCAGGTGGTCGAAATTTCTGGAGCACTACCCTACGGCGTCTCTCATGCTCATATGGTGGTTTTAGGACGTTATGTCCGAACATTAGGTATTAATTAGTAAAAATTGTGTCAGAACAAGTTTTTATTACCTATCTTTCCCTTTCTGATTGTTCTTGTTAACTGCTTCATTTTTAAAACTTTTTACCGTATTGTTCTCAGTACTTCATATAACTTTTTCACTAAAGTATCGTATAACAAAAGTGGCTAATATACCGAGATAGATATGTGGCTTTCTGTACATCGGTTTACTGCCAAAATACATCTTCCGGGAGAGACATCTTGGCGTAATCACAAGGTCAGCGCGTTCCATTATGGACTAATTTTAGCAGCTCACCAGATGTTTTGTACGTCATTTACATTCTTTGTTGTATAAATTTATTACGGAGTTTGCCAGTTGCTATAGCCGCTTCACGTAGTCCCGTTCAAGGCACAAGTGGGCACGCTTCCAAGCCCGTTTTTATGGGAGTGGTCCCTAGCGTCACTTGTGAGCCTACAAGACGAGCCCGCTGCTAAGAAATAAATCAGGATACGTACGTAAGACCTCCAATGGCATGCAGCCCTGGTGTTCTTAGCAGAATGTCAGTGTTGATGTATTTGCGTTAGGCTTCAGCAAAAAAAAAACTTTTTTTATTGTATATAGAAAAAAATGGGGAAAAACTTCCGTTAAAGTAACCTCACAACCACTTTCTAAGTATATCAATGGCTTGATTAAAGAAGTTGTTGCACGAATCTACTGCCACCAAGTATATTTAGAATCCATCAAATACGAGCATTGTTGCGCTTCCCGTTCTCTGCTTTCGAACCAGTAGGCACGCTGAAAGCTACGCTTACGCAAGGGCGGGGAGGGGGGGGGGTGACAATGGCGCAAAATGAAGTGTCCGTTCGTGAGCGCTTCTCATTACCTTAAGCACTCAGTTTTCTTTTTGTTTTCTTTGAACGAGTGGCTTGCTATTAGTGAGATCGCAAGTGCACTGCGGGTACGTGACAGACCCTGCGGAGGCCATGGTAACTACGCAGCTCATGGTGCGCCAATCAGCCAATGGCCGTCGACCTTGAGCTTCTAGGTTGACGGCTATTGAATTCTAGCTCACGTGCTGCACTTGTAATGGCTGGCTTACATCTTCTCAGGAGCCTCAACTAACGATTGGCAGCGTTTTCTGACCGTCCTGAAAAAGTGTTTCTGGGCTCCCTAAAGTGTGAACATGAGAAGCTCGGCCATCTTTGGACAAAAAGGTTCAAGTGAACACTCAGAACATGAGCAAGCTTCATTGTGAATGCTGCAATACGTGATCAAACTTACTGAACCTATTTAGTTTCCTGTTCTCAACCATGAACATGGATGTCGTCAGACTCTCCACGCAGTAAAACAGCCCTCGAGCAGTGGAAACGCACGAGTACCCGACATAGTGTTGAAGCGAAAAGACCACACGAGCAGCCAAGAACGCAGCGTACGTAGTAAGCCACATGCGCTCATAGCAAGAGCAAGATATCAAGGAAGATGACAAACACACGAAACATGCTGTACATAGGCAGCACTTCCTTCATGAGCTATAGGAAGCGCTCGAGAGTGTGCAATAAGGCAGTGTTTTGAATGAGCCACGCAAGGAATCGTCTGCATATATTTAGAGTGACATTTTCCCACTCTTTGTAGACCACCAGATGGAGGTTTCCCGAAGTGATGACAGAGACTACGGGTTTAGCAGCTGTAATTGATGCTGTGTGAAACATTTTGAGCTGTGCTTTGGCAGAGCTTGTTGGAATTCTCGCCACAGCAGTTGATTTTCTATTCATGACTGAAACAACTTTGTCGGCATGAATTCGTAAATAGTCCTACTCTTGGTGTTACGTGGTCCGTTTAAGGACACCCGCTAACGTTCTAGCTTTCTTCGTGATTTCTGGTATTGCAAAGTCATCCTTATCATAAAGCTAAAGGCGGCATTGAGGAAAGCTTGTAATCTGAAGGCAATGAAGTACGTTTGCGATAAACAATGCATATGAATGTTGCGAGTGACCATTCTACACCTACTTTTAAGCACGTGTACTATGAATACTCAAAGCTGCGCTGCAGCGTTCCGTCGTGGTCGAGATATATAGTACGAGTTATGATATACCAGCTATGTGCCCCCTACTTGTCCCACAATGAAACATTACGATGCATGCAAGGCACCTCAAAAGCTACAGCCTGTATATCGCAATGGTTCTCCCTGTGTGTAATAACCAGTGTTGCCAGAATCTCCAAGAAGAAAAGGGCCACAGAATTAACCAATGTAGCCAGAACAGCAGCCAACCGGCAGCCGTCATTTTACTTTGGAGCCAGAAAATTAGCCAAACATGATTTCAGTTAAGCTGTATTGTCACCACGTTCACATGCTTAAAAGTACAAAAATATACATCTCGGCAATGTTTATCAAATCAAAATAGACTAAAAAATTATCAGGTGAGTAGACTAGAAAATCGGTAGTCAACACTGCACCGATAGTCTAGTGTACCTAATTGAGTTCACTTTTGCTAGCATGCCCCACGGCACTGTTATTGTAAGCTGAGCAGCAAAGTACTTCGTATTTCACAGAAAATGTGGCGCCGATTCTTTTATTGTGACAGCAATGGACACTATCGGCTGAATCTTGTCGCTGGCGTCGACGCCAGCGACAATATATATATATATATATATATATATATATATATATATATATATATATATATATATATATATATATATATATATATATATATATATATATATATATATATATATATATATATATATATATATATCGTGTGAGGCGGATAGCGGAGGGCTGCCTAACCTATATGAGTTCCACCAATAATGTGAAAACGATCATGGCCGGGACGCGTTTTAGGCACACACAATTAATTCACTTCGCTGTTAAACATAAATAGGTTGACGCATTAATATAAATACCACGTCAAAGTGAAGAGTTGAGAGAGATAGAGAAACGAGAAAAAAAGGAAGGCAGGGAGGTTAACCAGATGCTAGTATCTGGTATGCTACCCTACACTGCGGTTGGGGAATAGGGGGTCGAAAGAGGGAGAGAGTTCAAAAATAAATTAAAAGCAAAACATTGACATACACGCACACACAAAATCGGTACACTCACAGGCGTTATTTACTCATAGCGATATTTACTTCAATGTGGGCTGATTCATCGAGAAATCTACGCAAAATGCAAGGTGCATTGCAGATTTTTTGCTTACCATGTCGTCCGCCAGGATGAAGACGATGTGCGGTCGAGGAGAGCATGCTGCTGGCGAGATCTCCACACATAATAACACAAAACTGAACAGCGCCGAAAAACTTCTGTGCTTCAAATCGTACGGGTAAGGGTGTAGCTGCTTCAGGAACATGTTTATTCATTAGCTTGCATTTAGAGTCTGTAAAGAAAAAAAAGAAAAGCAAAATGTGGTTGAGAAGAAATCGAGCTACAAGGCAGTCTTTGTAAGGCTCATCACTGTGACTGGCGTTGACGACGAGCTAGAGCCTTTACACTCTCTGTAAAGTCCACACGCTTGAGTATAGATCAATTAGTTGGGTATCTAATCTCCAGTGCCTACCATACAATGGAAGGTATCCCGGGAAACTATTCGTTTCTATCTTGTAACTCTATCGTTGTCCAACTTCTAACGTCACAAATCCGGCATGTAATCGCTATTTGTTTGCGTTTCATTATTTCAATCTGCTATTAATCGTCTGCCGTATTGCTGTCAGCAAAAAATGGAACGCTATTGAGACGAGTGTTTTCGACACACGCCAGTTTCTTGGATTACTGAGCACAGTTCGCAAGGGTTTTCCACGCTTTCTACTCAAACATGTGCATGCCACTGAAGTTGTGTCACTTTGGTATAGTGTGTCGACGAACTGCGAAAAACGCGCACACGTATAGCATTTGGCAGCCGCGTTGTTAAGTTAAACGTTTGATATGTTGCCTAAACCCGTCAAACCTGTTCACTCTGCTTTCCGCAAGAAACTGACCACTGCAGCCCGCCGCAGTACCCGCCACAGTGGTAAATGGTTCTGGCGCTTGACTGAGGTTCGAACTTCAGGCTGAGGTATACGTATATTTCAATTTAGGTGCACGAAAAAGAGTCCCAGGTGTTCGTAGTTTTGGGGGCTCTCTATGGCGGCGTCTGCAATTACATCGTGGGTTTGGGACGTTAAACCCAAATAATGTTTAATATTGCTATTATTACTACTACTTACAGTTGCAGAGGAGCAGCGACCGGCTTCTTTGCGTCAGCGGACTACTGCTCCTGTTCTTGAATAGTCACGCTGAGTGGCTCTTCAACACGCGCTTCCTGTGTATCTAATCACAGGGACACCTGGCAGATAATTCTTTGACAGCCCGGACGGAAACCGTTCGCAAGCATGGACGATACTAACCAATCATGCATGGGAGGCAGACCGCGGGCTCGATAAGTGCTGATAAAGAATGTCTCGTTGAAAAGGATATGGTAATCAGACTCTCTGCGAATGCTTATGAAGTCAGGCTTCGCTTTTTTTTTTCCTCGCGTAAACAAACTTACAGAAACAGCTAAGCGTATTCAAAAAGACATTGGCAGCACGATAAACAAAAGAATTACAATTGAGGAGGCAGAATAACACTCACCCAATTCAATGGTTGTTAAACGTACCTTGGAAATCGCGGAGGTGACCTTTAAATGTGTAACAACATCCTGGTTGGATCGCCTTGCGATGGCTGTGGGGTTCGCTGCTAACCCAGAAAATGCGGGTTCACTGAAGACTTACGTGGTCGGACTTTAGTCGAGCGGAAGGCCCGCTTAGTTTGGCCTAAATTGTACATGAAAGAATCAAGGGTGCTGGAAATTTCTAAAGGTACCAATTGGTCATGACACCTCCTACGCATGGCAGACTGCAAACTCTCAAGCGCTGCCTTCGAATTACAGAATATCACCCATTTTCCTGGACGCTCTTGAACGAGATATTGTAAAGCAACCCTTATAGCAGCAAGCTCTGATGCCGTAGATGTAGTCATATGCGACAACTTAAATTTGATTGTCATTGCTGCAGCCTGAATTACAGCGGCACCTGATGAGCTGCTGGACGAGACGGATCCATCAGTGTATATCTGCGTTCGGTCCAAGTACAAATCATGTAGTAATAGCAGTGTTGCTTGCTTCAATGCTACTCTGGAGTGATTGCTTTTCTTTTTGATACCCGGAATTTCCAGACGTACTTGCGGCTGGTCGAGGCACCACAAAGAACATGCCATTCTCGTAGCTGGCGTGTATCCTGATGGAATGCTGTTTGGGTGCTAGGCTATGACGTCTGAAAACGTAGCACACAAGGCTCACTAAATTACAAGCACCTGAATGTTGTCGCAGTGAACTGAACTGCTGACAGATTCAGAACGCTCACACCATCAGCCATAGAAAGCAGTGGCCTTGGTACTGCTCCGAGAGAAGGTCGACGGCCTTTTAAGCTCATTCACGTTGAAAATGGGCTAAAGGATGTTCTCATGATACTATTAGCCATCCCAGCAAGACCGTGGTATATGGTGTGGGATAAGTAAGAACGTTGTCAGATGTTCCTCCGTGAACATAGCCGTGAACGGGGTGGGAGAGCAGAGGGGGGGGGGGGGTATTCTATTCTGTTCACCTTAAGGGGGTTCGCATAGTGTGCCCCATATGAATGCTCAGTCATTGCTGCTTTGTTATTTTTTTAAACATAACCATTATGGGGACGCAGGTTATTTGTCGATAACGCCAGTAGAAGGCGTTCATTCAGTAAACGAAAAAGTTGTTTACTTCCCATCTTTGTTTCTTTGTTGTCAGACAGCCAAGGAACAAAGGCAGGCAATGAGGCAATGGCGAGAAGTATTCCATCGCTTCATATATATATATATATATATATATATATATATATATATGTCACGAGCAAAACAAGAACAGCAGCCAAGAGTTCACTTTTCACTTGAACCAGAGCAACAAAGATGTTCTCTTCTTCGCAGCCCAAAAACGAGTATGAGCCACAGTGGCTCGTTCATCAACGGTGGCATTACCCCCTCTCCCAAGAAGCATCGTCTTGATACTGTACATGAAGGCAAAAAAAAAGAAAAGAAAATGAGATGAAAATTAGCAAGCGAGCAAAATGAATGGCGTAAGGCGGAATAACGTAGTAGGTTGTAGGGACAAAAGTTAAATGAGAAATAAGAAAAATAGGAAAAATGTAAGGAAAAGACGAAACAAAAAGAAAGACGCGAAGTTACCAATAAAGTCAGTCACTCATTGGCGATTCACAGTGCGAAAAGTATGGTTTGAGACGTGAAACGTGAATGACTTCAGTTTGCGGGGTGAAACGGGAACGTCTCGAATTGCATTGTGGGAGAACCTCGTAAGTGACGTCGCTGAGACGTCGTACGACCTTGTAAGGGCCGAAGTAGGGGCGAAGAAGCTTTTCTGAACGTCCACGCTGTCGGATAGGGGTCCACACCCAGACTTCATCACCTGGCTTAAAAATAACTTCACGGTGGCGAAGATTGTAGCGGCACGCGTCTGCGGTTTGGTGATGTTGAATACGGTGACGAGCAAGTTGACGGGCCTCTTCTGCGCACTGCGCGAATTTGGCGGCATCCGTGTGGTATATTCTGTTGTGCCACAGACATGTTCCTCGTTCGGGAGCACGTCCCACAAGATCGAGCCCTGTTTCGACAAACTGTCTCCCCCCCCCCCTCCCAGCGCCGCCTTCCGTGCAGAAGAACCGTGTAGTTCCGGGGATTGCGTCGCTTCCTCCGCCGGACCACTTTGCAGTTCCGGGTATGGCTACGTCTCCCCCTCCGAGCCCGAGAACTGGTCTGAGAGAATGGACCAAAGACGCTATTTAAGGCCGAGCCGGCCCCATGTTAGGAAGATTTTGCCCCAGCCGACGTTGTCGTGCTGGCCGGCTCTGTAAAACGACAACCTGCTACAGTAAGCGCTACTTTTGTTGCTGTTTACCAAACGGATTGCCTCCCTGTTTCACCTTCGGGCTAAGGCTTCATCGAAGTCCGCTCGACGGCTCGCCGCTCTCGCCACCGCTACCATCGCGACAGAGCAAATTCATAACAATTCTTAAGTTATCAGGCAGGAGCATGGCGTCGAGAATCGTCGGGACGTCGCGTCCGTGGACTAAGCGAAAAGGTGTGAAACCGTTACTTTCTTGAACAGCAGTACATGTTATACGCAAAAGTTACATAGGGAAGCATGGCGTCCCAGTTCTTGTGATCGATGTCCACATACATTGACAGCATGTCTGCAATGGTCTTATTGAGTCATTCAGTCAGCCCATTTACTTGCGGGTGGTAAGCCGTTGTTTTACGAAGTTCCGTGCCACTTAATCGCAAGACTTCCTGCAGCATCTCTGCGGTGAAAGCTGTCCCACGATCAGTTATGACGACAGCTGGAGCACCGTGACGTAAGACGATGCTGTTAACAAAAAATTGGGCGACATCTGCTGCGGTGGCTTTTGGAAGTGCCTTGGTTTCACAGTAGCGTGTCAAGTAGTCTGTAGCGACCACAATCCACCGGTTTCCTGACGAAGACGTGCGGAATGACCCCAGCAAGCCCACGCCAATCTGATGAAAGGGTGTCTTTGTTGGGCCTATTTGCTGCAGTGGTCCCGCTGGTCATAAAGGTGGAAATTTACGTCGCTGACAGTCGCTACATGTGCGAACGTAGTACTTCACAGTCTTTGCGAGACGTGGCCAGTAGTAGGAGCGTTGAATCCGTTGTCGCGTGCGCATATAGCCGAGGTGTCCGGACGATGGCTCATCATGACACGCACGTAAAATGTCACCACAAAGCTTAGTTGGCACAACAAGCAGATACATAGCTTGTGTAGGATGAAAGTTCTTTTTATAAAGCACTCTATCACGGAAACAAAAGGAGGATAGTGAGCGTGCAAAGCTTCGAGGAGGGTGGGAATTGCGTCCTTCCAGGTAGTCAATGAGCGGGATGAGCTCCGAGTCGTGACGCTGTCGCTCAGCTAAGTGGGTTGATGATACGGCAGAAAGAAAAGTGTCGTCGTCTTCAAGGTCAGTGTTGGCATTTTCGACCGATGCACGTAAGAGACAGTCGGCGTCGGTGTGTTTCCGCCCAGATTTGTGGACGATGGTGACATCGAAATCTTGTAGCCGAAGGCTCCATCGTGCTAGACGACCTGAGGAATCTTTGAGATTTGCGAGCCAACAAAGGGAATGGTGGTCGTTAACTACTCTGAATGGGCGGCCGTACAAGTATGGGCGGAACTTTGTTATGGCCCAGACAACAGCGAGGCATTCCTTTCGGTTGCAGAATAGTTTTTCTCCGCTGGGGATAACGTTCTGTTCGCATAAGCGATCACGCGCTCTACGCCATTATGCCACTGAACTAATACCGCTCCTAGCCCAACGTTGCTGGCGTCAGTGTGTAATTCCGTGTCAGCGCTTTCGTCAAAATGACCCGGTACAGGTGGAGCCTGGAGGATGTTTCGGAGGGTGTCGAACGCAGGGCACTGATTGGGACCCCAAACAAACGAGACACCGTCTTTTGTAAGCTTGTGGAGGGGTTCAGCAATGTTCGAGAAGTTTTTGACAAAGCGCCTGTAATACGCACAGAGCCCCAGAAATCGGCGTGGGTCTCGCTTATTTGTGGGCACGGGAAAGGCGGCAACGGCGTGGGTTTTCTCCAGATCTGGGCTGATGCCGGCATGGCTCACAACGTGACCAAGGAACTTCAGTTCTTCATATACAAAATGACATTTATCGGGTTTGAGAGACAACTCCGCTGTTCTGATTGCCTGAAGAACTGCATGAAGGCGTTGGACGTGTTGTTCAAACGTGTCTACAAAGACCACGACGTCATCAAGGTAAACAAGAGATGATTGCCATTTCAGCCCGTGAGAACCGTATCCATCATTATTTGGAAAGTGGCTGGCCCTGAGAATAGACCGAAAGGCAACATTTTAAACTCGTACAGGCCGTCGGGAGTGATAAACGCCGTCTTTTCGCGATCGCGCTCGACCACTGCGATTTGCCAGTAGTCACTACGCAAATCCATGAAGGAAAAATATTTAGCGTTGCGTATACGGTCCAACGAGTCATCTATCCGGGGTAGAGGATAAACGTCCTTTTTGGTGACCTTGTTCAGTTTACGGTAATCAACGCAAAAACGCAACGTACCGTCCTTCTTCTTTACTAGCACAACTGGCGAAGCCAAGGGACTGGTCGATGGCTGAATGACGTCGTCCTGAAGCATCTGCTGGACTTGGTCACGTATAGCGTCTTGCTCTTTTGGGACACCCTATAGGCAT